GAAGTTACACTTCATCGCCACTGATTTTCAAGTTTGAACTTACCTGTCTCGTTAACGAAACAAAATGCGGACGTAACGGGGTAGCACGTTACATAAACTTATCATTGTGATAAAACCATAACAAAAAAACATTTCGTTGAATATTCAATAAATGATATCGCTAAGTATAGTGATATTGTTGATATGACCGAAGGATATATTCATTGGTTGGTATTGTGACTATAATAAAGCACCAATCGCTGCTAAACGCTCGGAATGGGTGATGAGTAGACTTCACCATACGCCTATTTAGATTGATATAACTAAGTTAGGACAAATTGAGATCAAAAAAAGTATAGGACTTGACTGCATGAAACAATATATTCACCTCTAGTACGACTAAAGGATTTCACGTAGTCGCTAACCTTCCTCTATATAGTGTAATTCATATCAGGGCACTGACCTGATTGTTGTCAATGAAAATTAACTCGTAATGGCAGACCAGTACGTAGTTGTCGGTGCCCTGTTACAGCGGAGAACATAATAAGCAACATCGGAAAGATTTTCGTCGCAATAATATTATCCTGTGTGTCTCGACACCGTGAGCGTACATGACTGTGAAAATCAGCGCGGTATCATCCACGGTATTCTAGCTACACACATTTGTCGGTGATAGACAGTTGTTTTGGCAAAACAACTTGGATACCTTATTGCTAGCCTACAGATATATTATGTTATTGAGTACAAGCCGATCTTGTAATAGCTTCTCTATGTCTATAAGTGCATCGCTCGGACGAACGCACCTATGCGAGAGATGCTTTATTAAAAATATATGCTTGCTTAGCTTAGCTTACATACGGAGTAATGCTTGGTTGGGCGAACGCTCGCACCTCGGACACGTAAACCTTCGGGTTATCAACAGAAGAAACGTAGGTATCATCGCCTCGAAAATCAGCTTAAGTATTAACCAACTAAATTAAGCAGAATATACGCAAGCCGTTGTAAAAGTGGAAGGAATTATGCTGCATAAAGCTACGACAGCATCCGCATAAGCGCTAGCGTTGGCGACAATGTCTATAAGAGCACCGGATACAGGGCTTCTAGCAGCTAAGACGTATATGAAACCTCTTGCGATACCACTATGAGTGCCGCCAATAATATGCAGCAGCAAGTAATTTGACTTTGTCGGCCAAAAAAATGTTGATTTATATTTTTGCCTTCCCTATCCGTAAAAGTGCAATTATTTAGGGTAAGCGACCAGCGGAAATTATATTTTGAGAAAAAACACGTGTGACGAATCTTGGATTGTGTGCTGTGATTAGATACAGCACTAGAGAAAGAAGCACGAGGCAAGGTATATGCTGGGTCCCAAGACTGTCCTCGTAATATTTATCTGCTCGTCTTGCTTGCAACAAGGGGCGCAGCTCTGATAAGGCATAATTATTGTGCTCAATACTTACATCTGTCACGCCACCTTTCAAGCAAAAATTAAGAAGGTATACTCATTGTCTTCATTTAACGTTGAATGGTTCTATCTACAGTCTTCTTTGTATCAAGCAGACCCATTTTTCTCTAATGCTTTGGCAGTTTTGATTCTGTTGCATGTGCAAGTTCAGCCTCGTCATCATGTTCGTTTACCGTTTATCCCTGTAACACTAGAAGCTCCAACGCGCTGCTAAATCAAAGAAAGAATCGTAGCGACACTGCGGAGGTCACACCTTACGACAAAAGAATTATCTCTTATCAATCAAACGCAACCGCTAAAACGGGTACATAGATCTACCAACATGATCACGCTCTCTGACATGAATTTGTTATCTCAAGTGAAAACGTCACACGTCTCTACATTATCAAGTACGATAAGTTTTTATCGGTATCCCGGGTAGCTGTGCTATGGTACGTGCACGTTTGCTGTACCCAATTTTTCGCGGAGACTACGATTACGTGTCATTCGTTTGCAACGAAACCCGGCCAGAGACGCTGCGCTATTTCGGATCGAGTGTACAAATCTCCATTGATAATGGCTTCAACACAATGCGCATTCGGAGTAAGTTGTTTCTTATCTCGATAAATGTCTCCTTCTACGCATCTTCCGTCACGTATACAATTTTAACTTTATGAATCGTCCGTATTTACTCTGACAACACTTTTAATGAGTATTATATACAAACACATATTCTGCACGAAGAGGTGATCGCATCCATAGGATGTTGTATGATCAGAGGTCTTGTGGATATTTCGTACAGAATGAAATGCATATTCAAAATTATAATTGTTGAATTTTAAGTCTAGTATTTAAAATTCATCTCTGTGTAACGAATGCAGGGAGAACGAGCCTTGCTTGATCTTCGAGGTAAGATATCGTGCCAACTAACTTTGCCTATTGCTTCCATGTATTGCTGAGCGTAACATCACCTTAGATAATTAGTAAATTCGAAAGACAGTGTTCACAAAAGCGTTCGATGGGAGAAGGATGTATCGTGTTAAAACGGTGTGAACTCGTCCATGACACTGTGAGTCGATCAATGCGAATATGTAAGGTATCTTCGTACTCATATTCGCCAACGTTGAAAAAGACTGTTTCATTGTTGGTTATTCTGTGATGAAGTCATCGCTCGGCAGCTGTTGACAGTGCTCGGCTCCTCGCCTGACGTGTCGATAGTGTCAACCAATAAGCTATCTAATGAATGACGAGTGCGCGCAATAAGTGCCAAGAAGGTAGTCCAATCAGGTAAATCCGTTACTCATCATTTTTAAACACGGCTCAAAAGAGTCTATACATAGACATTTATACATAGTCGTATCAGTCTTTATATACCGCCAGAGATTATCGTTTACTTGTATTGTGCTACCTCTACTATTGTGTATGGTAGTGTAAGACGAGTGCAATCGGTAAGGCTTACACAGATTCCACGTGTACATCAATGCGAGTGGAGTTACACGTACTTATTTTCAATACCACTAGTGCACATGCCGAGCTCCGTCATCCATATCAGCGATCGGTGTCGTACCGCCACGACACGAGTCCTTCTCACTATTTGCACATTATCGAGGCATGTGACAAGCATCCATCGGCCGAGAAGTCGTGCTATATCTATACGCCTCTAGTTCCGATGGCGCGCTGTGGAGAGTTAACATTTGTGATACCAGAAGTGTAACGGGGCACACCCTTGCGTGAACTTAACGCAAGGGTATCGGTGCCTCGACAGACGTACACAAGGCAAACGATGAAGCGTAGATAAGGTATAAGTAGAAGTGTCATATTAATAGAATTAAGTCTTTTAACTACTGTCTATCTGTTTGACTTAACTTAATTAGACTAATCTAACTGAACGTATGGTGACGTCTCGTCACCACTCATTGCGCGCGTCTTGCGGCGATTGGTGGGTTGATATCGTCAAGATATTAACCAATGAGCAGACGCTTTGGTCGACCCTTCAATATCACCACTTTGGTGATATTGTTGAAAGAACATTCAACATAATATTCTTAACTGTCACTTTCTTTAAAGTGACAATTCCATGTAACGGTCTGCCCCGTTATAAGAAGTGTTTAGGATCATTTGACTGATCTCGGATGCACACGCGACTTATAGAAGATGACATTGTTGTAACATAAACGATACATTGCATTATCTGTAAGAGCCACGGAGAGATATGTTACTGCTTGTCCAGACGAACAGTAAAGATTCAATCATAAGCGGCAATGTTGTGACAAATACAATGAGTAAAACCTCATACCTACTGCATCATCTATTGTTGTGTCTACTTTAAAGTACAAGCTGGTACCTTGACGTGGGAAAACTTGCAGGAATAAATATTCCTAGCACTGAGCGATGTTGTACCTTACAACGTTACCTTCGCATTTGTTAAGTGATGCCTAAGGATGCCGTAATCAATTCGCGAGATTGTACCGCGGTTTTTGACTTTGAAGTCACCACTAAGCGGCATACAAGCATGTTATAGACGTACGAGGTCGAATTGACATGGCATAATGTAATGCGATAAGATATACTTACGCTGACAACAACGTAAATGCATGACCGTAACAAACTTACGGAGGCTAATCCAATGGAAAATTGCGCAATGAAACAGTCGAAATTGCATTACAGTTATGTTGATAACTAAATAGGTGTTGTCATAGCCCTATCTATCATTTACTGTGCCTTGCCAGATGATATTATAGAGCATTGCTTATCTCGACTAACTGTAGAAGAAACATTTGATTGTGCATCCCTGTGATTGCGATGTGATACAAGGAGTCGTAAGATAAGGATAGCAGTGTGTTGACATCTGCTTATGTTAGCTTTGCTAAAACGGTGATATTCACATACATATTGACTTGCGGACCCGAAATTCCTTTGCAGACCTTGCTTTATATTCACAATGTCAGACAACAATGCTGAGTTCGAGCTATGGAATGTCCACGTTTGATGGGCGTGACGAGGAGTGCTGTACGATCGACAATGTCAGTGCAATGGAATTTATCCTATAGTATTTTTTACGGTCGCTACGTTAAGGTTGCAAGATCAAAATCCCATTCCATTCGTACGCCACGATGTGTCTAAATGGACAGTTTACCTTTGCTCAATTAGATTGGGCTGTATTATCTTATTTCGGTGAGCCATAATATGACCATCATCAAAACGTAATGCGATTATACTACCACAAAAGTTGATCTGAGAGCTCTTATCGTATGCATTCACAAAATATACTTAAGAGTGACATGGACGGATGTGTACAAATGTTACGTTGTATGAGCCGATAGGCTTCTTAATGACATTTCATATCTTAAACTTGACTCTTACAAGTTTACCCTTTATGGCTGTAATAAATATAAATAAATTGTACCTTCGCGACTATAGTATAAATTTGCGCTCCTATTTTCTCTATCTAATCTACAGCTTTCCTGACGTCAACATACTACCAGATATATACCAAACAGTGGACTGATGCTATTAAATCGAAAAAACAATGACGTATGTTGTTGCTGATCTTAGTCGAGCAACTTCGACGAAGTTGCTATTCTAAATGAGGCTGTGGAGGCGCCGGTACTTGAACTAGGTTCCCTTCTTCGTCTCTTGCAGTGAAGATCGCATTCTTCCTTAAATTCGCTTTATGCCATTCTTTACTCTCTCTCTCTTGGATTATGCGATCCTGCTTATATTGTTGCTTCAGATTGCTTAACATCGACTTGACCTTGGACCAGATCGTCTTCTTCTTATCGAGGGCCTCTTCCACCACTTTGCCCGTTGACGCCCCAGCTTCTTCCCACCCTCCTAGCGCCATCCTCTCTTCTGGCGCGTGTTCATTCGAGTCGCCGAGTCCATATAGCACACGTTTGCTGTCTCGGTCATCCGGCGCCGCAGAGGTCAGGTCCGGCGTCGTCTCCGTTTCACCAGCAGGGACAGCGAGAGCGTTGCATACAGCAGACATGGTTAGCAAATGCACAAGCAGCAGGTAAGAATTTACCATTTGGGCTGGCGGTAATAGGTGCGAAGTACACGGAGGAGAACGAGCAGTGCAAAGCTTAGCTATGCGACGCAAATTAGGAAATGAAGCTGGAGAAGTAGGTCTCATTGCAGATTTTTTTGATGACTCGAGGTGCTATGTTAGATACAGAAGAAGCCTGTGTCCAGTCCATGATGTCTAGGGTTCAAGCTCTGTACCTCGTCGGATTTGAGTCTGCACATGCAGCAACGGCCCAATTCGTGCAGTACATTTCCGGATGCGGTCCAGATTTCACGCTGCTTCAACCTGTGCAGCCGGTATGTAAAAATATGTGTGAGCCGCGGGAAACTGTCGAACTCTCTCCGCCATATCCCAGACTACAGATCAGATGCGCAAGACAGATTACCCTGAATGGGTGGCTAATTATCGGGATAAATATACGACAGAATACTCCTGTTCAGTGGCTAATTTTCCAGAATGATAGACGACAGGACACTCTTGATGGGTGGCTACGTATCCTGATTTATATACGCCATGCGAGAAAAAATTAGCAATCGTCGAAGAGTATACGGTCTGAAATGTAATGACATAAACGAAAGTAGCATGTACAAAGGCCGCAATCATTCGGTAATAGCCAGACAACGAAACTATGGCGTAGGCATACAAAGGATGACAGCATTATCGTGATGACCCCTGGTGTCTGCGTTTGTACGAATACAGCTATACCACCACCACGTCAGTGTCCACATGTTTTTCGACGGAACCCTAGACTTCCCAAATAAGGCTAATCGAGCATCCACGGTCAGAGACTAGTACCTCTTATGGCTAGTCAAAATCTGGTCCTCTTCCCTAAGACAGGACGCACTCCCCTTAGAGTGCCTTTATTGAAGGGTATAGGTCTTCTCTCAGCTGCACGTGCCGCGGGAGGCGACGCAGCGTGCGACTCGAACGGGAATCGACCGGCCGACATCCCGCGGCACGGGAAGCGCCAACAGGGAGCGACATCCCCTTGTCTGCGTTAGTTCCTACTCTTCACCATTTGCCTCTCCTCGCGCCAACTCGTTCGCTGCGCGCGACCACACTTCCACGATGTCGGCTTTTTAAATGAACGTGGTCATCCTGTTGAGCTTCAGTACCGGTCGCTTATGCAAGGTGAGCACCAAGCAAATATATTCTTCGTCTAGCGGTTCGACCGGGCGTGTCTGTATTAAATTGTGCGCTGGATCGCCCCGAAGAGCAGACCAAGTCGACCACCACGAGCGGCCAGGGTTTGCGTCAAGATGGCACTATAGCAATTATCAAGTGGAACAGGCCTTCTAGCCATGCGTCCTCTGTTCTATGAAGTAGATTGACGCGCGGGCGGAGCCTGGCCATCCGGCCATGAGCGCTCACACAGTTCTAACCTCGAACTAGGTCAACGTTCATTCTAACATGCACTTCCGGAAGTGTCCCCGTGGCGTCTGGAGTATCGAGCCAGCCAATTGAGTAACGCATTAGGTAAAAATTCGTGTCACGGTAGATGACCGAGGTGGTGATCATGAAACATACAAATTGAGCAGTATTAGGTTGCCACAATAGACAGGCTACCCCCTCTCTACCGATCGACATGATTGGCAGAAGCTCAAGGTCTGCGTCTGCAATCATGCAGTTGCAGCAGGATAAACTCACGTTGAGATCCTGATCGTCATGCAGCTCACGTTTGCAATAAGAACCGACACGAATGGATCAAAACGCGCATCGACGTCCTACGCAACCTCTGACTATATGAGATTGATACACTGTTTGTCAGCAAGAAGCTTAGCTATCGTACGCCGATCGACAAATACACGGTCGTAAAGTCTGAGTGGACTCAACGTTCAGGCCGGCGTGTGCATCTGGCCAGCAGAAACATGCCCAGATGCGACGCCGAATTTTGAACCTCTAACCACATGATTTGCTCCCTTCTCGTTTAGCTACACATCATCAAACCATCGCCGACGACGCTTACATTCGCAAGTGTCGTATCATATAACGTATGGCCCAACCTCAGCTTGAGCTTTTGTGCCCTTGTGCCCGAGCGACCTCAACCTCCACCAAGCCGGTGAATAGGCCCTCTGTCGTGGGAAGTTTCCGTAAGTTTCCATGCGTGGATCCCATTACAATAAAAAGAAGGCCTTCTTGCAGCTGGGTATGCTTCGCAAGGCAGCGCAGCTTGTGAATGAAAATAAGAGCAACAACCTTGGCGCCCCGGGGTGTGGGGCATGGCGCCAACTTTAGTCACCATTTACCTGGATTCTGCTTTTCTACATCGGCCTTCGAATAGCCGGTCCGGTCGCCGCGCATGCTCCCGGCCTCGCGAAAGCGAACCAGTCTAGTGCGTGATATGGTCGGACCCGGTCAGCTGCGTCAGTGTCCCGTCGGTTAAGATCACAGTGGTTTTCGTTTTTGTTTGCGACAACAGCGCCCTGTCTCCACACCGTACTAGATACCTGATTTACATGCCCCCTGTGGAGTGTCCTCTGCGACGTCCGACGTCTAGAGCCATCAACGGGGAATCGTAAAAAACACCAGTGTTCGCCAAAAAAAACACCATTAGGATGAGGCTATCCATTAACCTTGTATAATTTATACAAAAAAGGGTAGAAAAAATACCACTTTCGTATAAACTTCGCTAGAAACGTTTCTAAGATAGGCCGGACCCTCCGCTATTTGACCGGAATGCGGTCGAACACCTTCGGTCTGTCGCGGGCAAAAGAGAGACTTTGGATCACATTTTTTGGGGTTGTCCAACCGCCCAGGGTTGCTGGCTTACACTCATAACCTACTGGACCGGATGCACGGGAACTCCGACCGGTATGCAGCTTCATGCGACTTTTTGCATGTCACGGACGTCCCTGCTGTAGAATCCAATCACTTCACGGCGGCTGCTGAGCGCGTTTGGACATTCAATGGAGGCCTATGAGTGTCAAAGGAAGCGGATGTGGTGGGTATTATGTTCAATATGTCTCACGATTATATGGGTTCAGCGCGATCGGGTCGCTCACGAAGGTCTTTCCGTCACTTTAGCGGGATGTATGTTCGAATACATAGTTCAAAGTTTTCGGTAATTACACGCACTAGCGATGCGGGAGTATAGGAAGCTACACACCCAGTTGGCCGGAACTCGCGTAACGCAATGCATCGGGCTGCTCACCATGGCCCCATCGAAAGCACCGCACACAGCGGTGAGACTCGTCTAGACACCGGATCATCCGAAACCGGCGTTGCTATCCTGGATTAGGTCTTTCCAGACGTCTTGTACACCACAATTTCGTATAATAGTCAGTCTGTTCCCCTCTCTCTCTTAGACGGACTGAAGTCTTCACTTGCGAGACGACGGCTCCTACAACGGCGCAGGTACAAGCCAAGGGCGTGACGGCAACATCTGCAGCGACGATTTCTGAATCGGTGGAGCTTGCTGATGCTAAAACATAAGCGACCTCGGACGAGACAGTCTTTGCAGCGGCGGGTTGGCTGCGTCGTCGCGTCTGAGAGCGAAAGGTAATATGGTGGCGGTATGTCCAACAGCATTTACATTTTTACACACCCATTGGATATTAATATGGACTATTGACGCTCTCCTTAGCATTAAGTCGGCAAGGACATGTCTCCTCGGCATCATCTACGGGAGTCAACAAAAAGTAATCCAACTATGGCTTTGTGCAAAAGATATTTCGCGCAAGCAGAAAGTAGACCAATCCACGCCATTTTATTATATGGTGTGATCGGTCGTGCCATATCAAATATAAAGTACACACGCGACGCTAGTTAGCCGTGTTGCACAAAACCTGTCAGCAGCATTACCAACCTGCTATAACTCCCTCAAGAGGAGAACAAGTATAACCATGTTATAACACTGCAATAAACGCCGATGGGAAATAGGACGGCTTGTGCCAGCGTAAATTCAAGTAGACCGGAGCCATATACTTGAGTCTCCTTTAGAACAAAGATCATTTAGCTCCATAATCCATGGTATGTATTTCACACGGCATCGCAAGGACCTAATGCATTGTGTCAATACAAGAAGTAAGCAACGTCGGGTTGATCGCGGACACCGTAAGTCGCATCGACACGTATAGAAACCTTAGCATTAAGTCGATCATGGTGACCATGATCGCTCCAGGCTCCCTGCAACCATCGCCACAACATTATTAACCAGCTGTCAGTTCTCGTACCTTAATTTTCTTTACGCACACCCGCGTACCTGGACTCTACTAGTAGTAAAAACTTTGCACCAGCAAAAGAGTTGTTAAACTCCCAGAACGTGACACCAGCGTGAATCTGCTCAACATCAATAAAAACGATACATAGAAAAATACCAGCAAAAGCAATTCACACATCAAAATGTGGTTTAGTTTGTTAGTCACTCAGTCATTAGTCACATCTGGAAGGCACAAATTTTCTATCTTTCTCGCATTTCTTTGGCTATGACTCCACCGACTGCAACAGCCCGTCCCCCGTTTACTACTTTTGTATACTCGGGTGATTGGTGGCGATCTTTAAAAAAGGCTGGAAGGACGACCGAGAATGAGAAGTACAGGAGCAATATCGATGAATGCGCCGTGACACAGTCGACGTGACGGTATGCACGAGCAGCGATTGCTGATCGTGTGCAAGGGATAGGCCCTGAGCAGGCTATCAACAAATTGGGACTGCAGTCCGCTATAAATGCGGAGTGTCTGACTTATCTTAGAAACGTTTCTAGCGAAGTTCAATCAAAAGTGGTATTTTCTTTACCCTTTTGTGTATATACTTTACAAGGTTAATGGACAGCCTCATCGCAACGGTGTTTTTTAGACAAAAACTGGTGTTTTATACGATTTCCCGCCATCAACCTGAGGCAGCAAGGATGAAGAATGATGTACCGTCTTCCCTCAGATTAGTATCCCCTGATAAGTTATAACCTATAACATTTTATCGATATTCGCGTCCATGGACCTCGTTGTACGTCCGCTAAGTCATACATTATGAGTAATGATCAAATAGGGCAGTATAAATTTGAAAAT